AGCGGCTGCGTGGTGCTCAGTTGCCGACTGAGGTTAAACCATGACAACAGAGACTGCAGACTGAACCATACATGCTTCTAGAAATACTCCCCCTTGACATCCAAGTCCTCATATATAGGAACAGAACCTTTATAGCTCCTCTAAGAAACCAGAGCAGCTTTGCTGAATAGTCTGAAAGAGCTAGTCTAGACTTACCCAGGTCTAGCTTCAACTCAAAATTACTTGGTTTGGATTAACACACTAAATCTTAATTCAAATACTCCTGGCTTGTGCCAAGGATAACGTTATTAAGCACTGAGGAACGTGATCTGAAAAAGTATGCAATGGTTTACTTTGGCTGATAAGAAAACATGTATATAACAGATAAGGAATTCTAAGTCTCAGTTCTCTGCATGTACTTACCCAATTTACAGTACAAGAAACTGAAGAATTTTGCTTTCCCTTATTTAGACAACAAATTCCTTACTGCAAAGCAGCAGTAACTACTGTATGTAAGCAACAGCGACATTCCTATGTTCAAGGGGTGGCAGTCCTAGAATTAAGCAGCGAGAATAATCCAAAGTTGTGTTGCACATGTACAAACATTTGGTATTTGGTAACAGAGAGTGTTCTTTTTATTAGCAAATTTAACAAGGAAAAGGTGTAACTTTCTTAAAAATATTTAATGAGACACAATCCTCTTTCTTGCTTTCCTGGGTGCTTTTTCTACCTGCAGATACATATACAAAATAATTTAAAAAAACACATTTTTTACTGTCCAATTCTGTTCTGTCTTGCCTCCAAGAATATAATGATCCACTTTACAGAGCGCTCTGGCTCTGCAGACAGTCAATATTATCAGATATCAATGAGTAAAAAAATAAAAATCCAAGAAAGGCATGGATATGAAAAGCAAAGAAGTGTTTACAGTATGTAGTGAATTATGGAAATATGAGGTTTTAAATTTTTCACCAAAGTCAGAATTTAATTTGGTACCTTAATACTTTATTTGCATTTATGGACAGACTCACACACTGAAACTGGGACTTTTCAGAGAAAACGAAGGTCTTCCAAAAATCTCTGTCTGAATGAAAACACAAATATCAAAAATAAAAGAAGCTTTTGTAGGCTGAGCTTACAATTTTTTAAATTCATGCAAGCGAGTGTATTACACACAGATTTCTGAAGGAGTAGAGAGTTGTAATTTAAGCCTCAACTCAAGAAAAGGCCTCTTGCCTCTTCTGGAGATGAGCTGTATTTAAATTAAGTTTTTGAAATAACTTACTTTTTTGTTCCTGCAACAGGCTGAAAGATTGTGATTTTCCTCAGCATTTCCAAGAAAAACTCCTGTAGGCAGTTATGTATAATTAGAGTCTAAAATGGACAAAAATTGTTGTTAAGATATCTTTGTGAATGGCAACACCAGCACTCTACTTTTGCTAATTTTTATCTTTACTAGGGGTCTCACAATGCCTTTGAGAACAACATAAATCCAGTGCAGCAATATTATTAGCATTTGGAAAATCTCATTGGATGCTGAAATAGTAACTGAGGAGTGTGAAAAAGAGAAAGGCAGCAAAACAAGAACCTACCAAATTCTCTCTTGTTCTCATTTGGTAAAAAGCGGTGGCTTAGATGTGGATAATCTGCTGTCTTTAGTCAGGCTTTCATTTAGTCCATGGGCATGAGTTTGCTGAAGCAATGTACTCCAGAGGTCTAACCTTGTGCACACTGAGGTATCTGTCTACCTTCCCAGGTGCATAAGCAGTAGCTCTGATACGTGTTGTTTTAAAACAATTTTTTGCAGAGAGAGCACCCACTTTGCTAAATATTATGATAGTCTCTTTTTTTATGTAGCATGCATAATTCAAATGCCACCTGCCTTTCATGCTATATAAAATACTTTTGCCCCAATAACCTGTGTTCATCTTTCTCCAAAGGAATTTTCTGTTTTTGGGGTTTTTTTTTTCCATTTTCTACATAAACTACCCTGTAACAATTGCAATTATGGCAAAGTATAAACCAAAATATAATTAACTGAGCAGACATTATATCACTAGTATTATTCAATAGTGTTGAGAACAAGTTGGGCTCCAAAGTTTTAAATGCTCCAGATCCTTCAAAGTCTTATGCAGATGGTTAATTTTACAATTTTGAAGATTTTCTCTTTATTTCAGTAAGCCTGTCCATGAAGGGTACTTTGGCAAATGTTCACGTTTGAAAGAGAATGCTATAGCATTCACATAACACATACTGTCTTATCCTACTGCACTTAGGAAATCTCATTTTTTAAAAATATCACAAAATGCCACAGAAATTCTAGTCTGCAGCACTACTGCTGCAGAATTTGGATTAATTTTGCTGCAAAGGCTTGGTTATTGATACAGGGAAATAGAGGAAGGTTGTCAACTGCATAGTTGTTCTCTTTTCCATGGATGTTTTTCATTTATTTAATGTTATAAAAACCACCTAATATTACTAACAGTAGCCATGAGGGGAATTTGAATTATCTATTAAGTATTTTGTGCATTTGACATGCATTTTGAATGCTTTTTCAATCATATCATCTTCTCATCTAATTTCCTACTTTATTTGAGTGTTCCATGTTGCTAGAGGTGGGACAAAATGCTTACAACTTGGATTACAAAATCCCGATGAGGAAATCTCAAGAACAGATATGGTACCTGTAATTATTTTTACTCATTTTACTTTGGAAATGACTAATTTTCAAGTTGACTGTGTCCCTTTAAATCAGAAAAAAAAAACCCAGCTCAATTCAATCCACCCGTTTATGGTGGCATGAAGCCTACCTTGCTGGAGAGCAAAGGGGACCAAGAAAAACAGTTCTGTCAATGCAATTCAGCAAGAGGATAAATGGGAACGGGAAGCCTCAGGGATGTCTTGCTGTCATGGAACCTAACTGTAAAGGAAGATTAATTCACCCCGACCTACCCAGAAAGTGAATCTCTTACCAGATAAGGCAATTAGTGCTCGCTGAGGAAGAGTTGCTGGAAATTCAGATTTATGGATTACAGACAACATAAATAGAGGCATTCTGATAATTGTTTGAAGCGATGATGTTTTACACAGACCCTGGGTGCCTCTGAATAGACAGGCAAGGGCAGCGTGCTCGTGAAGCTCAGGGAAGAATGCATGGAGCTACTGACCACAGCTGCTGCACAGAAACCTGAACTTCCCTTGACACAAAGGGGACCGGAGGGTGGCCTCTCTTCTAGATAAATGGCTACATCAGCTGCGCGAATCAACCAGCTGTAGAACTGCTCATCCCTGACTTAAACAAAAGAGCGCAAACGTCTTCCTGCGTTAGCCAGACCAGGATGAGGAGTGTATACGTGAGAAAACTCTTTGAAATAGTTCTAGACTATTCACTTCTGAGACCTCTCACAACAGTCTTCCTTGCCCTGCGCCTGAGCTGGCTTCAAGACATGTATTACTTCCCAGCAGCAGAGAATGCCCGCCATGATGATGGTGAGCATATTATAGAGACCCATGATGAGAAACACGTTTGTATTGTGAGTCAGCTGTCCACTGCAATTGCTATAGTCTGCTAAGTGTAATTTTTATTTGTATTGTGATTTAAACACATTGCTAAATTCTGCTAAATGCCATTCTGCTATATCAAAATCCCATGTAACATCAAATAATTTCAGGTAAGTAAAACTGGTACTAAACATTAAACCTCCCCAAGTGTGGAATATCTAAAAGCACCTAATTAGAGAGTATTGGAGTCTGACACTGGGTCAGATGTGCCGAGTGGGATCCAGGGCAGCTCAAGTATCAACTACCCCCTAGCTTACATCCAAGATTTACTGGAAAGACAATGGATGTAGGTGCTCACTGTTTTCCCTGGGGTTACCACTGGACCAAAGTAGCCACAAATTCACATCGATGGCATAACAATGCTGTGGGCACCCCTGTTCCCTCTGCACCTTGCTCTCAGTTCCAGGAGATGTGGTTGCTGTGTGCCCTCACCTTCCTCTGCCTATGACACTTCTGTCCCAGAGGCCCCACATGTAGGTATAACATCAGTTTCGACCAAGGCTGAATTTAACCCGCTGTAGTTTTTAGTTTTTCTAAGGACAAGCTTTTATTGTCAGCACTAAAATATTTTGTTTATGTAGGTCTTAACGTGAGATGGTCACATCTGTTTTTCTCAATGTTATTTATTGTTGTATACATATATGTATGTATATATATGAGAAAGACAATTTGTGGGGAGGCTGGGATAACTTAGGATACCACTCTTACAAGGATAAAGAAAACAATAATGGTATCGCACTACTAAGAAACAATTCAAAAAAACCCAAAACAGGTATTATAAAAGTTATAATTCTATATAAACAGAGGAAGCCGAAGGATTGGGATATTAACCTAAAAATATGGTACCTATAGGAAATAAAGTTAACCAATAACATCAATACTTTATTCTAATATAGTGCTTTTCATTAGTTTATTTCTAAGTGTTTCACAAAGCAGGCATCATTATTCCACTTTATGGATGGGGAAGCTGAGATGTGACAATGTGTCATGACTTCTATATGTCATGGAGCAGACCAGCAGCAAAACTGGGAACACACTCATGGTCTCCTGAGTGCTAACACTGTGCTTGATCCACTGGCAATGCCATGATCCCCTTCTGCCATCTACAGTATATAGTCCAGCTTCGTCAAAGTCAAATTCATAAGCAGCATCACAGGAAACAAGCTATCACGCAAAGATCTCTGCAGCATATGCCTGTTTTCTTGCACTCAGAAATGGCTTTCATTCTGATTCATGGGGTGCTTCAATTGCAGCATGAGAAGTTAACACCTTGGGGAAATTACAGAACATCTTACAAATCAAACACTGCTCAGCGAGTTAGCAAATGGAACAGATGCAAGATACGATGAAGTAGATGCAACATAGCATGTACAGAGCAGGGGTACTTCCTGCCTTCCACCCTGCACCCCTCCTGACTGCTGGCCTAAGCCACCCAAACACCTCAGCAGGGAAACCCAGCAGAAAAGGAAGAAGGAGTTTTCAGAGGAAGGAGAATATCTGCCGGCTGTTCTTCACACACCTCTCAAAAAAGCCACATTAGGGACAAGGGAGACTAACGGCGAGGGGAAGTCTCAGAAACAAACAGTCTAGAGAGGTTTCTTAAACGGCTGAAACATCCAGATGAATTCAAAGGATGGTGAAATCAGAAAGCTAATGGGGTCTCCAGACATTAACTCATGTTCTTATTTATCCCTTACATGCACCAAATAATCCGAAGAATCGACTGGACTTTCCTACCTCAGCAGCACCGGTGTGTTTGCCGGGCCCAGGGAGCTTTCAAAGGATGGTTTTGTAACTCAGCTGTTTGGTCGTTCTCACCAGACAGGCTCTTTGGTCTCCTGCTTATCTTGCTCCAGCCAGAAAGCAGAGTGACATCAGTATTTCCATAACAACAGTAAGGCCACAAGGAGACCAAGGGTGCAGGGGAGTGTGGAAACTGAGGCATGCCATTTATACCTGCCAGCCCTTAAAGTCGGCATTTGCAACTAGCCTGCTGTTCCCCGATGTGGGAGAGCTGAGAGATGCCAGAAACACTCAGCACGGGACTCTTAATAAATCCTCACACATTTTAGGTGATCAGTAGCCCTGAGGCTGCTTTTAGATGTTTGGCTCTAACTTCCCTGCGATTCAAATACAGTGAGATAGTCCTTAATCAGCAATATGGTGTTCCAAATTGTTTCTAAAATCAAATTCAGCTCCCTGTAAATTGCACATTTAACCTAGTTAACTTGTAATTGGAGCTGTAACAAGTTGGATGTGTCCATTATCTTACTGCTTTTTTTTATGATTACATCACCATAAGACATAAGCATCTCTGGTCAACTAGCACACCTTATCCCTACAATAGCACTGCTGAAATAGGAAAATATTCTTTTAAAAATGGAGAGTGGAAACCACAGAGCTCTGGTTCATCTCTCCTAAAATCAGGGGGTGGCAAGCCCGGAGCAGAAGACACATTCCTGATTTATAGTCCTTTGCCTTAGTCTCAATTCATCCTTCTCCTTATAGTCCAAGCTTAGAATTTGTTATAAAATCACTTCCCATGGACATTTGTGTCACTGTACAGAACAAGTAAGGGTCGAGTCCCCACAGCAGGAGGCTCTGACTTGGATCAAGAACAAGATGTGCGTGTGACATGCAGGAATTGGACAGACACTTTCACGTAGCTGTGTGCCATTTCTGAAGAGGCTAGGTACCCAGTTCTGCTTGGTAACTTTGCACCGCTTTCCATGAGCACCCATTACATTTATAGATTGTGAGCATCGGCTTTTTTGTGCCGTATCTAAGCACAACCATACAAACTGGATTTCCGGAAGGCGTTGAGGCAGGCTGGGCTGCTCAGAAAAGCTGTGGTGACTCAGTCAGGCGTGATGAAGTTGGAAAGACCAGTGGTGGGTAGATAGCTTGGGGGTGGGAGGTGGAGGGGCCCTGCTGCTGTGGTTCCTGGCTACCAGCAAAAAGAGATGAGCACGTTTAGTTCGGTGTGCACCTGGCTTACACATCAAAGAAAAAAAGTGTGTTGTGGCTGAGAACCGGAGACAGCCAGAGTTCACAGAGCATCCAGATTTTTGCCCCAAACCCCAAATCACCTGCTGTGCCACAGCTCTGGCAGAACCGCCATTTGGACTTGTGTCAGAACAGAAGTTGAGTTAAAATCCAGTATTTTGGAATCAGTCCAAATTGCCAGAAATATTCCCTGGCTGTTCTGCCTTTTACTGTGCTGATGTTTTAAAACCTTTTTGGTGAATATGAGCACCAGCTACAGTGGTGTAAGCCAGGTTACAAAAGAATGGCCATTTGTATTCAATGCAGACCAAAAAGCAATGGGAACCCATGGGAAAAACGAAGCTATAATAGTGCGAGTGGCAGATTTAGAGTGCCCTCTGTGTGATTGTGATGCAACATTCACAGCAGCACTTGCTTAGGGGAAAGAGTCTCAGTGAAATGTTGAAGACCTAGGATGACAGAGGGAGTTCGGAATTTGAGAGTGGTTGCATGTCTGCAATCGTAAAATTGTTTAATCCCCATTTAAGGCTAATTTAATGAGGCCAGGTAATTCAAGGCGTAAGTAATGAGTTACTGAAAATGTTTTCAATCAATCCAGCTCAGTGGTGGCCAAAGTTACTGTCATTTAATTGTCGGACTTGGCTCGTTTCCCACTAGACAGGCACTTGGAAGCAGGCGCTGGGACCTGTGAAACAGCAGTTCCCCCAGAGAGATTAATAAATATTTAAGCTTGGGGTTTTCAAATGCACCTGCAAGCGTTGGGGGTCATCCTCCCTCCGAAATTCCTCTCTTGGGTGCTCCTAAACTTCCATCCCCCCCTCCATAGCCGAGAGACTACGACCTCAACCGTCCTTCCCCAGTCGGGCCCAGACTGTCCACCACACCCCGCCACGGAGCTCACCGCCCGGCCTCCCCGTCCCCCACGGGCCGGC